AATGTCTCCCTGGCAACCAGTAGCTCTAGGGAGTAGTAGAAGATATAGTCATTGAAACTAGAGGAAATAGGAAAATACGTTACACTTTTTATTTATTTTTTTATTTGTTTAAGGAAGAAGGAGAGCTACTTGATTATTTTATTGATACCGCTGTTAATATAGGAAAAAACATTAATTAACATTTATTTTAGATTATTAGAATCACTGAAGTGTACAAAATCTGCAAATGACTTATTAAAATAAAAAATTTGTAACAATTATGATGTAAAAAGAGATGTATCAATATATATCAGATGTATCAATTATGATGTATCAATAATCATTTTTTGAATGAATATGAACTGAATTTAATATTTTATATGTAGATTATGCTGTTCAGATAGTAGCCAGTTCAAATTTTATTTCCGTTAGCTAGTTATTGAACATGTATACATTAGAAAATATGGCGAGAACTTGGTGCATTACATTTTTCTTTCTTTCTTTTTAAGAAAACTTCTATCTTATTGCCCTACATGTCAAGCTTAGTAAGATTAGTTACATACATAATTACATCACTTCTAAAAGTAAGAAACCTACTGAGTCATCTTTGCACTGTGTGCTCCAGAAGATTCTCAATGATAGTAATCTTTTGAGTAATCACATAGATAACTTCCTCTGTCAGCCTAAGACTGTCGGGCCCACTTCAGCCTTCTTGTCACTGGCTTCGTCTTCCCCAGCTCCCTAGTCAAGATCAGCTAATGGGCCTCACCTCTGCATCCACCGACTCTAGGTCTTGAGCCAATCACGACCTAGCCAAGGGTATATCAGCAGCCTCAGTCCCACCATCTAGCAGTGAGAATTAAGTCAATTGCTAACCCATCTTCTGATCACATAAGATGTGGGGAGGATCTCTGAACAACTGTGTATCTCTCATCCATTAATCCAACCCATTCCCTGTGAAGTTGAAGTATGGTCCACCTTTGCATATCTGGGCCCCCTTATATTGATCTATAAAAAGACAATTTTAATACATAAATAAATAGAGAAGAGACAAGTCTCCCATGGAAAAGAATTCCAGATAATTTATTTAAATACTCTACCCTCAAGGAGATGGAGCATAACTGCCCTCTCCTTAAGTGTGGGCCACACATAGTGACCTTCTTCCAAAGTGTACAGTATGGAAAGGGGGAAACTTTACATTGAAGAAACCTGGCATACACTGTCTCAGCCAGGTAATCAAGTTCAGCATCAACAATGAGAAATCATATTGATAGTATGTACCCTTGATTTGATATGAGGAACATGGCACTTTACTTTTGTGGTCTTCCTGTCAAAAACCCATAGGAAACCAGTCTAATTATGAGGAAAACATCTGGCAAATCCCAGTGAAGGAACATTCTACAAAATGCCTGACCAGTACTCCTCAAAATTGTCAAGGTCATCAGAAACAAGGCAAGTCTGAGAAACTGTCAAAATCAATAGAACTAAATGCAATGTGGTATCCTGGACAGGATCCTGGAACTAAAAACAAGTATTAGGTAAAAACTAAGGAAATCTAATAAAATATGGACTCTAGCTAATAATTATCAATATTTGTTCATTAATTATAATAAATAACCATATTGTAAGGTGTTAATAATAGGGGAAGCTGAATATAGGCTATGTGGAAACTATCTTCAAATTTTCTGTAAATCTAAAACTATTCTAAAATATAAGTTCATTTTTAAAAAACAATATGAGAAAAGCTAATGTTTATTGAACTTTAGCTTTGTGCCAGACATTGTGCTAAAAGCTTTGTATAGATTATCTCACTGAATACTAAGGATGCCCTTATGAAATGAGTGCTGTTATCCTCATTTTATAGGTGAGGAAATTGAGACGTAGATTAAGTGGATTTCTTAATGCCAAAATCTAGGAAGTTGAGGAAGAAGGATTCCAATCCAGACTGTCCAGACTGCTCTTTTTTGTCATATTTATATGACTTATTAACAGACATTGAGCACAAGAAGAATGCTTGTTTAGCATTTTTCCAAAACACAGTCATCAGATAAATAAGCCTATGAGGAAGAATACACAGAAAATTTGTGCTTGCCAACAGACAAAATAAATGTACTTCTAAAGTAGATTGAAGAATTGAGGTTTGGAATAAAGGCAGAAGAAATTCAAGGATTAATGAATCGTATTGAAGTGTTAAAGAAGATGTTTACATCCAGAACTTTGACTCGAAACTTTTGCAGACAGGATGAAGTTGGTCAAACGTTAAAAATGTGTTGAGGGCCCACCCCATGGCGTAGCGGTTAAGTGCGCACACTCCACTGCTGGTGGACTGGGTTCAGACCCCGGGCATGCACCGAAGCACCACTTGTCAGGCCATGCTGTGGCGGTGTCCCATATAAAGTAGAGGAAGATGGGCACAGATGTTAGCCCAGGGCCAGTCTTCCTCAGCAAGAAGGAGGAGGATTGGCATGGATATTAGCTCAGAGCTGATCTTCCTCACAAAAAAAAAAAAAAGAAATGTGTTGAATAGTAAGACATATAGTATCTAACAGAGGCTATATTGGAGTTAAAATAACTGTCTAAAAAGTATAAGAAAAATGAGGAAAAAAATCTAAAATACCTAAACGTGACTGCTCATTTCCCAACTTTCACCCTCGTTTCTCTTTTGGACTGGATATCTCCCTAAACCCAAACCACAACCCACTGACCTAGGGCCCTATTACACAGCTTAACTCGTATTAATCCCTTTTTCTGGAGTCTAGGGGATGGGCTGCAGGGAGCAATGGAATTCATGACCAGTACTCCCAGCTGCCATTTAATGTACATTTCAACCTGTAAGTTTCCATGTATGTCCTTGCCAAAGTATGACCTACACCAGGCAATGCCTCGATTCTGATGCCTGCCTTTATCCCTAGGATGTTGGCCCTACCTAGGCCCTCACTGGCTTTAACACTCAATAATGTCATCCCTAAAATGAGACCATGAATATATGTATGTTACAGAGTGATGTTAGGATTAAATGAGATAGTGTCTTCATTTTAAAATTTCTATATAATCTCGGTGATCTAATCTGATGAGATTGATAGTTGAGCATCTGATTGAAAAAGTTGATTAAAGCATGAAATAATACCTTAAACACTGCATTTTTAACTTAAAAACATACTTAATATACTTGATTCACCAAACTTTTGGTGTAAGAACAAGGCCATTTGTTTTGTTTTTTGCACACAGGTTTGCATATAGTTTCACTACTTGGAGTTCTACCTTAGCTTTTTTGCATCATCTCTACAGTGTCCAGCTTTGGTTCACTTAAAGTAAAGCAGTAGACATCCATTTTTTTAGATAGAGTTAAGATGGTGTTCTCACCTTTTCTCGTCAGAATCATACAAAAGCAACAAATAGAATAAGAAACAGAAACACAAACTAACTTCTTTGACAAAATCAGAACGCATTTGAAATCTCAAACCATGTGTATTATGAAGTACAATGAAGATAAGGAGTGATACAGAAAGATGCCAAGAGAAGATGCCCGGGGTTACAGATCACCAGCAAAACCAACCGAACACAGTTCTCAAAAGTGGCATATCCTGAGGAGCAAAATCAACAATTCGTAGTTTGGAACAAATGCAACTGATGACCAGGGTGGTGCTTCTCAGTGTGGCACAAAAGAGAAACAGAATATTGGAGAACTCAAGGAATCACTTTGAAAAGCCATCTTTGTAGGAAGCAGTATGCTAGTGAAGCAGGATCAAAAAAAACAGTATGAGTTCTGAGTTAGTCCTGCAGCTGTTGATCCTAGAGGGCAGGAGAGAAGTAAAGACTAAAGGCTATAATTCAAATACACACACAATTTTGTGAAATGAGAATTTTTGCTGGCTTGAAGTGCAGGCCCAAATCCAGTCCAATATACTCTACTGCAAAAATTTGGTCCAAGAGGTACTCATAAGATTCGAAGATGGACAACATTTTAAAAAGGCTTGGGGCGGGGGGCATAATCTGCACTTGCTTTGTACCAAGGGAGGGATCTTTTCCAGAAGGCTACACTAGAAACTGAGTGAGACAAAGCCTTACATTTCACTGTTACCCTTTTGTCCTTTCAAATTCAAAAGAAATTTAATGCAATAAGAAAAAGAATAGGGGCTTTGAAAAAAATAATAAATTCATTTGGACATTTGCAAAGATATCTAAGTCCTTTAAGATTTTTGACTATTTAGATCTATTCAGTTGTTTTGACTGCATCTAAATTGACAGCAATTTCTTCTGGTGACTTTCCTTTATCAAGCCTTTCACAAAGGCATTCAGCTTACAGAAACAACATTTCCTTTTGCATTCGTATTTCATTGATTATATAATATTTACTTACCTTATATCATTACAATAATATGCTAGTCAGCATAACAAGTTTAGAAACAAATACAATTGACTTAGTAAGCATAAAGCTCAACTGGTGGGAACAGAAACATGGAAGTGATCTAGAAAGGGGCCTGCTAATCACAAGAGTTCAGTGTCCTATGGATATCATATGTTTTAGAGAAAAAACAGAAAGTAATGCTTGTTGATGGATTTGTTAGGTGGTTGTTAGAGGAAATTACCTTAAGTATGGATATATGTTATTATTGTGTTCCTGCTGCCTTTGAATTATTCTCTAGGATATGTAGTTTTCAATATATTGCTTTAAATCTTAATTTTATTCAAAAATATTTATTGAGCCCCTACAATGTACCACAGGCATAGAAACCAGTGAAAGTAAATATTTCATCACTACTTGTTGAACTTAAACAATGTTAAAAGGATGTTATTGGTGATTTTGTTTTTGATATGTTGAATAACCTGTATCAGTGCAAAAGATTTGAATGAAAGAATTTAGAGTTATATTGACTTGCTTCATGAATATCCTTAGAACTCTTCAGACACCTAAGGTTGTTTTAAATTGTTATGTTTATTTTACTTTAGAGTATGTTTGATAAGGAAAAAAAATTTTTTTAACTATTGCTAAATTTATTGTTGTTGTTTTTATCTTGAAGCTGCCAGAAAAAATTATAATGGACTACTACGAGAAGTATAAGCCTAGAATGAATGAACTGGAAGCTTTTAATATGGTAAATCTCAGAATTAAACATATTAAATTGGATATGTTGCTAGACTTGAATAGGGTCCTATTAAATTTTGTTATGGAGCTAACCAATCTATGTTGTTTTTCTCTTACTGTAGAAAAACCATTTTGAATCATTTCCTATTTCAGAACTATATTAGGTGCCAGTAATGTAATAAAGAGAACATATGGTAGACTTCTCTTAAAGTATATTATAAATGCACAGAAGAAGTCTCAGAGTTCTTTGAACACATATTGGTCTCAATGCAGTTATTTCACAAGCATTCCTTTTAATGATTTCATTCTTAGTACCCCTTTAAAAGCTTTCTATCCCATATGTATGATTGCCTTTGGATTCTACCTCAAAGTGACTCAAAGGGCATTCTTTTCCTATTGTTATTGGAGAAAAACGTTTGATCTCTGCAGTATTCATTTTCTGAAGATGTACACTGGGTACTGGAGATTTGGCCTTATATAAGTATCTGTAAATACATTGTCATACACATAAGTGTTAAGCTAGTTTTTTGGTTTTTTTGTTTGTTTGTTTAGTACCACTATCCTATCTTGAATTCTTTCTTTTAGTTGAAAGTTGTTCTGGCTCCTTGTATAGAGACATTGATTCTTCTGGATCGACTTTGCTACCTGAAAGAGCAGGTAAATTATGTTAGTTTTAAATGCGTAACAAGTACCTTTATTAAATCCAGTAATGTGGATCCACCTATATCTGGGATAAGTTTCTTTCACATAAAACTAGTAAGATAATTTTTCTCATATTTTTTAAGTTTAGATAGTCATTCCGTCTCTTTTTAAACATAAACATATGTACAACAGATGTTTTCAGCAAAGTTGCTATAATAAAGTTTACATTGTTTTAATTGTATGGTAATTATTATACAGTAGGCAGTGAACACAAACCATCATATGTGACATATTGTATAGCTAAAATTAATAAAGGCCAGACATAAAAGATATCGTATATGTTTCATTTTGTAAGAATTTGCCTTTTAATTCACTTTTGGACTTTTGGACATATGCACTCTGCAATATAGAAACTTCTTTCTGATCAATTGAAATTGCTTCTATTTTTTCACAATCTTATTTGTTTTATCGATGTTGAATGACCAAAAAGAATGGTCTTTTTGGTTATCTTTAGGGGAAATGGTTTTTGCAGATTCTGTTCTGAGCTGTGATCAAAATAAAGTTTTGTGAACTGTTTAAATTAAACCCATTTGTGGATTCAGCTTTATGTTTCCACTATAAACCCTTTATTTTTAACAGTTCTGTTTTATCATATGGGGAGCATTACTTTCTTCTTTTCAACGGGCTACTTGGAAGAAGTGGATTTTAATAAATGTTTGCTTTTCTTCTAATTTGTATTTTTATGGAGAAAGGCAATTTTTAAATATTTAGATAATGATGTCCTTTCCTAAGCTACCAAAATCACTGAACTCAAAATCATTGAAAAGCTTTGGTTCCCAAATTGGCAGGTGACAGAATCAGGCCTATTTTACTAGGTACTCATCATTTCCCTTTTCAAACAATTTCCATTGACCTAAATAAAACAATATGCACAAAAATTAATAGCTTCGTAGTGAAGTGATAGAAATCATATCAATGCTATTTTATTAATATTTTATTATTATAAAAGTAATACATATTTATGTTAGAAAAGTTAAAATGAAGAATATAAAAAAGAAAATGAAAAGCAATGATAATCCCACCTTTCAGCATTAACTATTAAATTTTTGGTATGTTTTCTAGTGCTTCTCTCTAATATATGTATGTTGCACGTATATGTATATGCACATTTTTTATACTTTAATTAAAATTGGAGTCAAATTATAAATGCAGTTTTGCATCTAACTGTTTTCATTTATTATTTTATTTAGAATTTTCCGATCTTATTAAATATACTGCAGAAGCTGAGTAATGTTTCACCTATAATAATTTATTTAAGTAATACCTGATTGTTATTGGCCACTTCCGGTTTTTCACAATCACAGCAAAGAGTAACCTTGTAGTTCACTCTCTGTGTACATCTTAATTATTTCCTCAGCATAAATTCCTGAAGGTGAAATTGTAAATGTTAATTTTATTCACCAAAACTAGTTTTCTTTTATATAGTTGGTTTTTTATGTAGTTTTTGTATTATAGTATATAGTCTGACTGATCTCTCATTTTTATCTTCAACAAATGGTTATATATCTAAATCACTTATCAATTTGCAGGAAGATATTGCATGGTCTGCGCTTGTAAAGTTGTTTGATCCTGTGAAATCTCCCAGATGTTATGCTGTTATTGCTCTGAAGAAGCAGCAATGATTTCAATTGAAGCAAAGTATTAGATGTGTCTGTTTGTGGAATCTATTGCTAATTTTGCTTTTTTTATGTCATATTATGTAAATATTTGAAAAACATTGCTGTATGTTTTAAATAATAAAATAATAGCTAACGATAGAATGCCATAATCCATTTTTCCATTGTCAAACCATACATTAATAAAATAAGAACTCGTGAAAATATTATAAAAGGATTGACCTACATTCCTGAGTTAGTATGTCAAAAGGACTTTGAAATCTGAGCTTTGTTTCTTGTTCAATAGTTGAGACCCTTAATATTTGCTACATATTATATTTTGACTTTTATTGACTTAAAAGCAGATGAAAGGTATAGATGTAGGTATAGTAAAATTAGTTGAAGATCATTTGTACTTTCCTCCTCATTTTGGAAGGATTTTCCATGTTATCAGGAGGGAAAAATCCACATTTAAAGGAAAGAAATACCCAGGAGCCAGGCCAGCCATAAAAAGTGCCTAATATAAAGCATATTTTTCACTGGGTTTTAATCTAAGTTAGATGAGGAAATATTCTGTACCCTTAAAGGAATGTGTATCTTATAAGAGAGATATTCGCTATAAGAATTCTTGAGGCTATTTATCTTACTAAAATAAAGGGATGGCTTGGCACTTAATGGAATTACCTTGTGCTCTATAAAAAGCCCATCTGAGTAAGGCAAGAGTCAGTGAGAGAAGGCCAGCACTCTGCTCAGTGTGGTACAGGTTACTTTCAGTAGCAGAAAACTTGAGGTTTCTAATACACACAGAAGAGATGGGTGCTGGGAGAAAGCTTCTTTGATGCTCAGCTAGAGACTATAATAAAATTCTCCCAAGCAGAAAAAGTAACTGTTTTCTTATATTTTGGAGTATATCAACAAATGAGAAGAATAACTTTTTGCTTTGGGTTGTAATACTAACATTGAGTTTGCAGCCAATATATACGTGAGTTATCAGGTACTTTGTATAGCTAGTACAATACTGGGAAAATTAGCCGTTTTTTAAGCTTTTTATTCTGGAAAATTTCAAACATTTGGAAGTGGAGAGTAGCGTGTAATGAATCCCCATGTACTCATCACAAACTTCAACAGTTATCAGCATTTTACCAATCTAGTTTCATCTGTACACACCTGAGCATGCACACATGCACACCCGTCACCCACACCCATGCCCTGGAGAATTTTAAAGCAAATCTCAGGCAGTTTGTTATTTCCCATAAATATGTTAGTATATATTTCTCAGCTAAGAATTTTTTCCATAATAACATCTTTTGTCCTCATTTATGTTTTTATGATTTGCTCAAAAAGTCTTATGTATCAGTTTGCTCAATTCAGAATCAAAACAGGGTTCACGTTTGCATTTGGTTGATGTGTCTCTGTAGGTTGTTTATTTTATTTCCTCATATCATTTGCTGTATGAGTAGCTGTCTCAAAAGGAGCAGAAAACGTTTCCAACCTACTGTCCTTCCTTTCATAATTCCACTTTCTATGTAAAATTTTAAACTTTCTCCTTGATGCCCAAATATGTATATAACATTCATTTCTCATTATAATAAAGGAAAAAAAAAGAACTTTATATGTGTAAAGCTTTGCTTAGTATGGAAAATTACAACTCTTTCAATACCAAGGAAGCTTTATAGTAACTTCTCTATGTTTTAAAACACTGTTAGAAATTGCATTTAGCAATTAATGTTTTGCATTTTTATTAATGAGCGACAAATGTAGGATTCAAGCATCTAATCAACATGAGATGACCTGTATGATCATACTGAGATGATAATATTTCAGCAAAAAACAAAAAAATATATTTCAATAGAACTGGGGCTTTATACACATGAATCCCATTGCAGTGTCTGTAGATTCTCATAAAAACTGCTCTTTGAGAACTGATTTACAGGTAGTTGAGCTAAAGAATATAGTGCATTGGTGGGAGCACCAAATCTGGGTGAGCTAAAGTAAGACTTAATATCTCAGAGCTTCATTTATGAAGTGGAGTTTCATTTAATATTTATTTTATAAACATTCATTGGATGCCTACCATGTGTCAGAGATTATGCTAGGTACTGGCAGTACAGAGACAAAGATATGTCTTGTCCTCAAAGAGCTCACAGTCCAATGAGGAAAGCAAATAATAAAATTACTAATTACATTAATTAGTACTGTAATTACAGGTCTGAGAGGGTCAGGGCACAGGATTCTTCAGGGTGTCTCAAATCGATAGACGTAGAGGGAAGAAAGACTCAGTTAATATTAGTACCGTAGTTTAGATTTACGTGAGTTAAGTTGTTTTGTGTCCTTGGGTAAGTCACTTAACTATTCCGTATCCCTCAGTTTCTCATCTGTAAAAAGGACATAAGAATAGAATTTACTCATAAGGTTGCTGTGAAGATTAAAGAAGTAGAGATGTTATTGAGCTTCTCCAAAGTATCTTCAGACAACCTGTTAATAAAGCAAAACTAAGTTTATTTGAATTCTCTGCAAAAAGAGAAGACTCTGCCTTGAGAGTCTCCACAGTCTCTGAAGGGAGAAGTCGGAGGAGTCTATGTATAGGATTTGGGAGTCTGGGCTCAAGTGGTTTAAGGTGGCTCTTTTTAGGTGGAGAATAGACTGGGATTTGGAAAAGTTCATGACATAATAGTTTTAGATTAGTATCTATAACAAGGCGAGGGTCTTGCAGCAAGTCTTGATAAGTAAGCTGTTGCTTGAATAGTGAACTCTTTGCCAAGGTGAGCAGATTGTTTGTCTGAGATAAATTAATATATGGGAATTTCCTGAAACAAACAATGAAGTTATTTATTCATTTACAGTCTTATCTTTCATGGGCTAATTTTGCTTTCTGAGGTTATCTGTTAAGATTAATATTTATTTCTAGCATTATTTCTAACAGTGACTACACTGTATCTGTAAGTATAAATGCAGAGACTTATACAAAAGGCCTTTCCACACTACATGCATCTGAAGGTTGTTTTTTAATCTGTGGTTCTAGCCACTGTGCTAGATAATAATAATAAAGTATTATTTATTATTAGTAATATTTATTATTATTATTACCCAGTTTTAACATGCAGAGTTATTCCAAAGTCTTTGCAGTGAGTCATGAAGTTCCATCCTTTCCTAGATGGCTAAGAGCTAAATTGACCACTCTTTTTTTTTATTTCCTAGCTTTCTGCTGTTTTTCTTAAAGTTTGTTTTCAAAATACACAGAAACAACTTTTGTTTAAAATCTCCTCAACTTTAGTTCATTGTTCTAAAGCCATTTAAGAATATCATTGCCATCAATTTTTTGTAGAGATATATATAGCCCAGTGACATGCTGTTAAAATAGATGCAGGCAGACAGGCCTCTAATCTTAACTCCACTATGGCGATCCTACATTAATAATTAATATTCAGGGAGACTTAGAATTGATAGAAATAGTCAAGGAACACAGATGAAGCTCCTGGAATACGTCTGTGTATAACAAAAGGACTCAACTACTATTCTGCCAGTCTGTAACTATGTGGATTGCATCTCCCAACAATTATTAGGCATATTTCGATACCCAGCACCCAACACAGTACCTGCAACATAAAATGCTCATGATGAGTATCTGCTAAATTAATGTATCAGTTCTGCCTTAAATCACTTACTAAAATGTCCTGTAGAAGGCAGCATCTATGGATGTCTGTCTTCATAACTAGAAAACATTGATTTTTGGTTAGGCACTGTCCTAAGCACTTTACATGTATTAACTCATTTAATCCTCATGAAAACTCATGAAGTAGGTACTATCATTATCCCTATTTTATAGGTTATGAAACTATAAAAATAAATACTAATATTTTCTGAAAGAAAATAACATTCTAGGCCTCACATTACTTCTACAAACAATTTTGCAAATGCAATGTCTGGCACACTAGAAAAAATGACCTGAATATAGGGAGGTTAAAAAATAAGAGAAACTACGAGGCCAGCCTGGTGACATAGTGGTTAAGTTCATGCGCTCTGCTTTGGCCACCCAGGGTTTGCAGATTCGAAACCTGGGCATGGACCTACGCACCACTCATCAAGTCATGTTGTGGCGGCATCCCATATGCAAAATAGAGGAAGATGGGCACAGATGTTAGCTCACGGCTAATCTTCCTCAGCAAAAAGAGGAGGATTGGCAAGGAATGTTAGCTCAGGGCTAATCTTCCTCACCAAAAAAATAAAATAAGAGACACTACAGAATAGAAACAGACCTATAGGACTTCCATATATTTCAGTTATGAGACAGAGTCTTTAATCATTCTTACTAAGTTGAAAGAGATAAAAGAGAAGACTGAGAATTTCAGCAGAAAATTAGAAACTATAAACAAGTATCAAATGGAAATTCTAAGAGTGAAAAATACATTAACCAAAATTAATAATTTAGTGAATGGGCTTAGTAGAGATTAGGCATAGCTGAAATGTGAATTAGTGAACTGTTAAGTAAATTCTGAAATAAATATCCAGAATGAAACACAGAGAGACAAAGGGATAGAAAAAATCAGAACACAGGATAAGAGACATAGAGAATACATTGGAAAAGTCTAACACACATATAATTGGAGTCCCAGAAGACAAGGATAGAGAGAATGGCGGAACTACTATTGAGAGAGATAATGGGCTAAGAATATTCTTCAACTGAAAAACAATCAAATCACAGATTAAAGAAGAAAAATTTTAAGGAAAACATATCTAGGCATATATTTAAATTGCTAAAAACCAGAGACAAGAAAATCTGAAAATGTCCAGAAGAAAAAAAAACCCCATTACCTACAAAGGCATAGCTATTGAATGGACAATGGACTTCTCAACAGAAACAATAGACGCTGGAGGACAATTGAATAATACCTCCAAAGTGCTAATAATAAACAACTGCCAACCTAGAATTCTATGCCCAGTAAAAATATCCTTCAAGACTTAAGCTAAAATAAGGACAGCTTCAGACAAATGAACACAGAATTTTCAATAGCAGATCTGCACCTAAGGGAATACTAAAGGGTGTTCTTCAAGCAGGAAGGAAATGATCTCAGATGGAAGGTTGCAAATGAAAGATGAAAGGAAGACCAACAAAAAGGCTATATAATAGGTAAACTCAGGTAAATATTGACTATATAAA